TCAGCCTCCGTTTGATTAATGTGATGTAGGAGTGCTGCCTGCATGTGCTGCCAGCCTCGGAGGTGTCACCCGACACTGCTGAATAAATGAACACAACTAATTGTTTGTTTATGATTTGAAATATTAATGGAATTGAATATATGAGGCAGTCAATTCAAGTCACTATTTGGGACAAATATGCGCCGTGGCAGGAGCAGCTTCACGTAACATAAGAGTACCAGCCGCGCTGGCATCAGGACACAACTTTCACAAACGTTGGGGCTACGTTAAGTGGACTTTGATGTAATTGTATTATTCCCTTAAGAAAGAGAAAGTGTGTCTATTTATAATTAAAGTAGCTTACATAATGCTTTTGGGAAGTTGTGGGGGGTAAACATTTGAAAACTGCTCGAGATCTCGGTGAAGATAGAGACTTCTGAGATGATGAAACATTATCCAGCAGCTTACAGCACATTGCGCATCTGCCTCACTCGACTTTATGTCATTCACACAGAAAAACAAAGGGGGGGATGCTTCCGCACTTACATAGTTAGATGCCGATAGGGGCGTTGGAAGCAAGTGAAAATGGCCTTGAGGATTATCATTAAATATGATTGCGCTTCAAGGATGCTCGAGTTCCGAGCTGACACGTCGTCCCGAGCCGCTGATTAATGGACGATTATACAGTATGTTCTTCTCTGGAGCCACTTAGAAGAAACATTAGGGTTTCTACAAGCAGCAGGATAATGAGTACAGAGAACATACAGTGCTTGTGAATGAGCCTTGGAAAAAAAAAGGAATCCAAAGTGAGCGGTTGTCTTCAAATGTTGCAGCTTGGAGCTCTGGTGGGCCTCATCAGGATTTCTGCTCTCTGCCTCACTAATGCCGCGAGTTTAAAGAGGATGACGCTGAATCAGGAGACTAAATCCCAACTCCCTGGTGGTGCGAACCCCAGGCAAAGTTTTGTTTACGCTGTGCTTTATCAGTGATCTTGGAAGCATTGTAAATCCTTTGCATCTCCTCTTTCATCTCCATACAGCACCTTGATCCTCACTGCGTCATTAGTGCTGCGGCAATAATGAGAGATTCGGGTGAAGAATTGCAACCTTCTGGTTGCTTTGTGTGGTGTGTGTGTGCGTGTGTGTGTGTGTGGAGAGAGGAGGCTCACCAGCACTACTCATTATAAACAGACTATGTAAATCCGAAAGCCTCTGTTGTTGTTAATCTCGGTAAGGAAGCGATCCTCAACATTTCATTGTGCAGCACACGGCTCTCAAAATGAAATAAGATGATGAAGCTGATTGTGGCTGATAGTGGGGAAACCAATAGCCAGGTCTGAAATATTCTGAAGCTTCTAATCAGTAACTTCATTTTGTTTTATCACACGACGGACAATGTTCCAAGTAGCAAAAACAAAACAATTTTTTGTTGTTCTGCAGACAACTTGTTTCCTGGCCGACATTATTATTGCGTCTTTTAAATATTTTATGTTTCCAGGTTGCTCAGATCTGAAAGGAGTTATTTTGTTGCAAAGACATCTTTTTTATTCACCTCCTCATTTAAGTGCTTCACGTATCTCTGCGTTCTCCCAACACTTTAGCAGAGTATTTGTGACCCTGCCAGACTGACAGCATTTCATCAGTCCATCAGCCTCGGCTGCTTTCTGTGTTATTTTTAGTGTCAAACGACGATCCACAGTTCATGCTGATTGAGAGGATGTTCCACCCTGTCACTAGTAAGACGCTAAGGAAAAACACTTAATATTCACCACTTTTGACGTGAAAATAGACACATTTTAATGATGCACTGGTGGCAGCGTCACTTCAGGCTGAGAACGTCAGCGTGGCGTTAAACAGCCATCAGTCAAACTCTAAAAACAAAGCTGATGTTTGGGGTACAGTTTCGAGAAGCTGTATTTCATATCTTTATAAGCTCTGGCACTGCGTTCAAACATTAGCGTGTCTGATCTCATTTGGTTTTTCAAGAGCCATATTACATTGCTAGGATTGGCGTCACGTTATTTGATGTCTTATCATTATTCCAGTCTGCATTAGGCTCCTCATTACTGCTGGCAGAACATAGCCCCACTCTTAATTTTCTAAATTAACATGTCCTTATGCTAATTGAATGGGGTTTTAATAGCTCTCAGCAGACAGAATTTCAAGTGAAAGGGAGTAAAGTTATATGAATGTCCCCACTGGCCACCCGCAAAAGGGTTTCTCACTGAGCACTAATAGCACCTGTGGACATACCGTTAAAGACACAAAGCGAACAATCGCATTCACTAAAGAGCCAGATTAAAGCCCAGAAAAGGCTTTGCGATTAAGAAAACACAAACAAATGGTAAAGTGTGACCCTAGATTGAAATATAGTGATCAATAACCTGTTTTCTTCCTCCTCTGTGTGTTGTTTTCCTAAAAGGTGGAAAATAAAAAAAAAATCGACAATCTACATTCAGTTTACAAGGACTGATCCCTATTGGCCTATAAAGCAAGCTGTCTGGGCTGTTCTTGACATATCGTCAGCTATTACTCCTGATACCTCCCATGGGGTCGTCTTCTCCATAAACTCTTCCCGTCTCTGAGCCCCTGCCTCCCATCACCAGCATGCTTGTTAAACAGACGCACACATTAGTCTAACTCATGTTTCCTCTGAGGCCCACTAGCCTGCCAACACAAAGCTCTTGCATATCACTCAGTCTCTGCCCCCTGTATGAGTGCAGAGCCGCTTGCATTCATGCCCTTCCCACAGATAAAACCTCTCAGTGTAAGCGTGTACATTTTCTTTATCCCGGCTTTGCTTTGCTTTGAACTGCACAGAATCTGACCCAAAATCCATTAGCAGATGAGCACATATGCAAATTATGAATGAAGGTAGAAATATCTAGATAAAGAGCAGGTCTTGTAATTTGTATTGTGATAGGTGGCTTGACTTTTTATTGATGCTTAAATCTCTGCAAGTGGAACTGAAGTCAATGGCGTCTGCAAAATGTGTTTAAGGGTCAAGCATGTTAGAGCTATTCTAAAGCTTCGAATAGAAGATAAAAAATAATAAAATAGGAATTACCTCAGGGTGCGCTGAGCAACTCTGATCAAAGGCAAATCAAAACATCAGTGCCATGAACGACATCTGCAAAACTAACTCAAAGGCTGTATTAGTGGATCTGGGTCAAGTGTGTGCAGCCGAGCATCCTGTTTACCTCAACTGTTGAACCATCGTGTTCCTGGTGGACACCAGACGCAGGCTATTACACACCAGCAGGAACATAAAGTAATCAGGCCCCGGACTCTTTTAATCCAATTTTTGGTATTTTAACATAGTGATTTTATCATTAAACTTTCAGGTTTATTCAGCTGTAAAAGTGAAATCAATTTTTGCAAGTTGCCCTCCTGTTATATTTTATTAATTTTAAATTATTGACATAACTAAGAGGATTTTAAAATCATATCAAGTATCATATTTTTTTTAAAGCAAATGTTGAGAAAGCGTATTTATAGAGGATTCATTTTGTTGGAGCTAAAAGAAAAATACTTAACTGTTTTATTTCATGGCCAAAATTAGAATATTGACGGTTTGGAGTCACATGACCGTTAACCAAGTGACTTTAACTTGTTTGTCATTTTGGAAGTGGACAATCGAGGTGACAACGTAGGTTGCAAGTAACGTAGACCCCAGTCATACAGAGCTACATCTTTACTACAGCTAAGCTAGTATTCACCAGTGATTGCAGATCACAGGCGACTGCGAGGACCTGCTAGTGACCAAAGCAATCACAAGGAAGTTTCTGGTGCAGTGGCCTCTTTGTGACCGATTTCAGCCGGCAACGTTAAAGAACCACTTGACAGGAAGTTGGTAAATAAAATGTTTTCCCTCATGGCCGGTAATTTTAACCACTTCCTACATGGCACACAGCATCAAAAAACAGACAGGTAACACGCTTAGTGAGCGTCATCAAACTACAGTGTTTGCACTTTTACACATCCAGCCCACATGTGCTATACATCCATTCCACATCAGCACTGACGACACATCCATAATGGATCTTTAAATGAGGCTACAACCTGAAAACAGTGGAAGCAGGGGAAGCTCCGTCTACCAGCATTAAAAATCTGCATCAGACCAAAACCAAACTGGTTAACACTAGTTAAAAACAAACTAATCACAACATTAACAGCTGGAATTTAATGCCTACAAATATGAAAGCATGAAAGCACAAAAACAATATACTAGCTTAGAGTTTGTGTTGTTTCATATCTATTATGCCAGCAGTAAGACGCATATAAATCTTCTAACTCTTGGCAAGAAAGTATATTTCCAAAAATATCCCTAATGTAATAGCTGAATTATTCCTTTAGTGGGTGCACGATAAAACTTATTCTGAATCCTTGTTTGTGGCCCTTTCTTTGTAAATAATCCTGATATTTTTTATTCTGAAATTCTTAAAAGGTTTGTTCAAAAGCTCGGGGGCTGAGCACTTAGGTTTGCTGGTTAATGTAACCTTTACTTTTTAATCTAAATGCTTGCCATTGGAAAACACTAATGCAGGAACTATTTTTATTTCTTTACCTCTGAAAGAAAATCGGTCGAGGATGGTGAAGAGCTTTGAATCAAACTGAAGTGAAATGAAGTAGAAACTTTTTCAAACTCATCTTAAGGAAAAATTGAACCTAAAATCAAAACCTGCCTTAGCAAATCTGAGCCAAGAAAAAAACAAAAAAAAAAAAACAACCCTCTTCCTCTTTCTGCTTCATACTCACCCCAAAGGTACTCTGGACTGCCTCCAGTAACAGTACGCCACATATTTAACACCCAGATGCAGAGTATTTTCTCGTTCAGAAGGTTTTAAAAGTCACACCAGATGCTCACTATTTAACCCAGGGAGTTAACTCTTGCTGGGATATGATCCAGAATAGTGTCTCCTTCACACACACACACACACACACACACACACACACACACACA